TTCCAAACACAACGGCTCCTGTAATTTATGACCTTACTTCCTCCACGGATCGAAATAATAATTAAAGACTATGTAAAACCTAATTTTCCGGATAATAAATCTAACTCATGTTTGTCCCTTATTATACGACAACTTGGACTAATTATTTGAATATAAATTGAGTACGGGTTTCCACGAAGGTGCATTTCTGAAGTTCCACTTTCGTACATGTCTATTCCATTAGAAACTGTAAAGTGCAATTACTTTCTTGACGAAGTAGGTACTTATTTGATTTTTATCCAGCTTTTGCTTTATACGTGACATGTTAACTCAAAGTTATATTATAATGGAAGCGTACTGCTGCTTGGTGAGGTATTTCTAGGTCAATGTTTAAATTTGTATGTAATTTTTAAAAAAGTATTTTTATTAAGTCAAATAATAATTACAATTTATATAGACATAAGATAAAGTATGTTTAATATAGGTAAAAGAAATAATAAATAAGACTTACTCACAATCAGTTTAATTTAATTATCTAGACGACCGGTTTCGCTTTCTACAATATGCAAAGCATCTTCAGGTCTGTCAATAAAAAGTTAATTAAATGCTGAAATAATATAACCCATATAAGGGTGTTGTCTTGTAAAGATAAACAAAAGATAAATGATATAAATTACAGTAATTATGCCAATAATACATGTCTGTGGTTTTTCTAAAAAATAAATAAACTGTTTAAGCAAACAAAGTAAGACCCACAAATTGGTATAAAATAGTCTATTGAATTGTAATTAATTAGTAAATAAACAAAACATTACTTACATGCCGGTACACTATTAATTAATGGTTGGAAGAACATAGTTCAAACTATCCTGTATTGCTGAATGGAGATTTTCAGTTTTTACTATTGTAATTGTTTGACAAACAACGGGGAAGTTTCTTGAGGAGATAGATTTTATCCAATGAAGTAGAAAATAGGTGTAATATGATTGTTTGTAAAATGAAAGTGATGTTCTGTATTAATTTATTCTTTAAAAGTTATTTATATTTATTCAAGAGATACATTTATGAAATTTGTGTTATTTATTGACGTTTTATTAAGGTGACAGTTGTATGACAATGAATAAAAGAATGAGATTAGATGTACAATTGTGTGGGTGTGCAAATTTCTTTAACTTGTAATTATCAAATTTCTTTGATAAAGTTCAATTAACTTACTGTTATATGGCAAATGATTGTAAAGACAAGTATGTAAAATAATTAAAACTAAGTTTATTCATTTTTTAGAAAAACCACAGACATGTAATATTGGCATAATTACTGTAATTTATATCATTTATGTTTTAAACAACTAAATTATGTTTTAAACAACCAAAAAGACGTCTCTATACATGGATATCACCGAGAGATGGCCATGGCAGTGTAATGCGTAACCAAATAGATTATATCATGATTAACAATAGATTTCAAAACTCATGTAAATGTACTAAGACATATCCAAGTGCCGACGTAGCCACCGATCACAATTTACTGGCATCTAGAATCAACCTAAAATTAAAGACAATCAAAAAGCCTTCAATTACAAAGAAATACGATAGACAAAAACTAAAAGAAGAAGAATTTAAACATCACTTTGAACAGACAATAAACGAAAAAATTCGAGACAACATCACACAAGTATACAATGTATCAACAGTCGAAGAAAGGTGGGATAACATAAAGAATGGTATCATCGATACAGCAACGCAAAGTGAAACTGTCACCCATTATAAAAAGCAAGCGTGGATGACAGATGAAATAATCGAAATGATGGACGAAAGAAGACAGCTTAAAAATAGAAATAACTCAGATTATAAACGAAAGCATAATCTGATTCGAAGAAAAATCAGGGATGCCAAAGAGTTATGGATGCGAGCAAAATGTGAGGAACTAGAAGAATTGCAACGAAAACATGACGAATTTAACACACATAAGAAAATGAAAGAAGTTACAGTACACAAAAGAAATACACCCATAACATTAACGAATAATGAAGGTCATGCACTATCCCTAGAAGACGAAGTAATGGAGAAATGGGAAAACTACATTAAAGCATTATTTAAGGATGATCGAAGATCACTACCTAACTTAAGTGCAAATACAGGACCATTAATCTTAAAAGCTGAAGTGGAAAAAGCCATACACCAAGCCAAAAACAACAAAGCCAGTGGACCAGATCAAATATACAGCGAATGGCTAAAATTACTCTCAAATGACAATACAAAAGAACTCACTGTACTTTTCAATCAAATATATGATACCAGTGAAATTCCATCGGACTGCTTAAAATCGATCTTTATTCCTCTACCTAAGAAACCAAATGTTAAGAAATGTAGCGATTGTAGACTCATTAGTTTAATGAGCCATGCCGTTAAAATACTGTTGCATATTCTTCTAAACCGAATTAACAACAAGTGCGAAGAAATAATAAGTAAAGAGCAGTTCGGGTTCCGGAGATGCCTTGGAACTAGTGAGGCACTATTTTCTATGCAAACACTCCTTCAACGATGTTGGGAGGTAAGAAAACCCGTATATATGTGCTTCATTGATTTTGAAAAGGCATTTGATCGCGTTCAGCATACCAGACTAATTATCGCCTTGCCGAGCATCCAACTAGATGAGAAAGACATCAAACTTATTGCCAAATTTTACTGGAACCAAACAGCCATTATTAATACCAACAACAGAGAATCAAAGCCAATCAGTATTGAACGAGGCTTAAGACAAGGCTGTATACTATCTCCCACCCTCTTTAACGTGTATTCTGAGAATCTATTTAGGGAAGCTTTAAAAGATCAAAAAGGAATTATCATAGGAGGAGAAATAATTAACAATATACGGTAAGCCGACGATACTGTGATTCTAGCTGAAAACATCGACGAGCTGCAGGAGCTAATCAATAGAGTTGACATGAAATGCACAAATTGGGGACTGTCGATAAATATCGATAAAACTAAATACATGGTGACCAGTAAAGTGGATATCGGCGCAACCCAACTGATATTAAACCAACAACCGCTGCAGAGAGTTCAGAGATTCAAATACCTTGGATGTTGGATTACCCAAAATCTAGATCCAACCTTCAAAATTCGATGTAGAATTGAACAGGCAAGAAACTCATTTCAGAAATTCAAGCCTCTATTATCCAATAACTCATTAAATTTGGAAATCCGTGAAAAGTTTACAAGATGTTACGTGTGGTCTGTACTTTTGTATGGATGTGAAACTTGAACTTTAAACGCCGATATCATGAATAAAATCGAGGCGTTTGAGATGTGGTTGTATCGAAGGATACTAAAAATTCCATGGACTAGCAGAACGAGAAACGAAGAAGTTCTTCGAAGAATGGAACATCAACGAACTCTATTAAATATTATTAAGAGGCGTAAACTAGAACATCTTGGACATATAATCAGAGGACCAAGATATGAGTTCCTTCGGCTAATTCTCCACGGTAAAATCGAAGGAAAGAAATGGATAGGACGGAAGAAACTCTCTTGGTTGAGAAATTTGCGGCAGTGGACAGGTTTGACAGCGGACCAATTGCTACACGTAGCGCAAGACCGAGATCAGTATAATAATATTATAAGCATGGTAGTCGCCGACGTTCCGTAGGGATATGGCGAAGGGATATTCTTCTCTAAGAAGAAGTGTTTTATTATTTCAGCATTTAATTAACTTTGTATTTACAGACCTGAAGATGTTTTGCATATTGTAGAAAGCGAAACCGGTCGTCTAGATAGTTAAATTAAACTGATTGTATGTCTTATTTATTATTTCTTTTTCCTATTTGAAATGGACTCACACAAGCAACACATTCATATTTTTAGCATATTTAAGAACATAACATGCAGTATCTTCTAATTTTCTTTAGTTATTTAACCACTGCTAATCGGTCAGATAGCCGACTGCGTCTGTCGACTCGACGGTCGAAATGCTTTGGGGGAAGTGCGTTCGAATTCTGGCTCAGTGTATAAATACAAAAAAATAAAGAGTTTTAAACTACCAACTTAGGTAGTTTAAAATTCTAAATAAATCTGCCACTTAGACTAGAACATGCCTGAGTCTCACCGCCCTATGGTGAAGCAGTACCTCAAGAGGTGAGGACTTGCGGCTTAATGATACTCCTCCATAGATCCCTGCAGGATAGGTGTATAAATATTTATTTATATCGACAAAAAAGTATCGCATCACCTATGAAACTGCAAATGTTGTATTAAAAATAATTTAAAACATGGATTTTTGCTGTTGTTATTTTTTGTTTTTTAAGTACGCAACAAGTATTAAAAGAAGAATGCTGAATGTACGAAACGCAAAGGTTTCATTAAATTTATTTCATAAATTAGAAGTAAGCGCACAAACAGCATTGAATAAAAAAAATCAAAAGGAATAATAATTTAGTATTGCCTCCTCTAGCTCTTCTAACATCTAGACAACGTTGTGGCATACTTCCAATTAGATAATCGTGATCGATATTATCCCATTCTACAGTTAACAACCGTTGATGGTAAAGATGGTCCCAAACATGTTCTATTGGATTTAAGTCCGGGCTGTGCGGTGGCAAATTCAAAGCTTGTAAATTTAGCTCTTGAAGGTTCTCGTAAAACAAAGTCATTGCCAATAATCCATTGATTATCTTCATCCATTAATTATATTATTCTTTTATCTCTTAATAAACAACATTTTTTATTGATAATTCTACCTTACTCTTGTCTTATATAGGTCCTCTTATATTCGGCCTAAACTGTCATGCGTGCCCTGAGGCACTGTTTTACCATGTGTCTACGTGACATATCTGGAAACGAGTAAGCCACCTCTAGATGATTTTTTTGGGGTTTTTACACGTTAATTATACTAGAAAAAAATTACTATTCTTTTTTTTTTCACGTTGAGAGTTTTGACTGTTAGAGGGTTGATATTTAGAAGAGCAACAATTAATTACTTGACGAATAAGATTTATTTATAAATAATTTATAAATACTTACCATATCATAGTGATATTCTGCAACTCGTCTATTCACCATGCATATCAATACATGCATTAGGTATAATCCGTGTGATTTACGTCACTAATAATACACTAAATTTGATTTAAGTACATATTAACTAAATCACAAAAGTGAGTTAATAGCTGGTATGTTGAGTCCTTTATTACTAAAATTGCAATCAATAATTTTTCAAAATGTCTTTTATTTCCAAAATTTATAAAAAAAAACTCAGAAGATAAAAAAAATTAAAATTTTATAACTATTCCAAAATGGATTTATAAATTTTTCATTCCTAGCGAACCATTCTCAGTGAACAACGTCTATATAGTATTTGAAACCAGCCATATAACGAGGACAGATCAAGGCGAGATACACGGAAAAGACGTATCGTGGAATGCAAATTTTAGATTCCCCACGTCTCTTTTAATACCTTTATCAACGTCTGTTTTGCTTTTCAATTTTTAGAAAGCACACATTAAAGCGGAAATCTGAATTGTGTTTCGAAACTATTTTACGGTTTTATTGCCAGATGTCGCTATTGCGTCCGTATTGAAGCCATTTTAGTGTTGCTTCTTAAATGACAGAAAATATTGATCTTTCACGTTGAGAACACCTTTGAATAACTGTTCTGATGAGACCTATTAGGTCGAAATACGTATCAACAGATATAAAGGCGCTGTTTGGGTGAAATCAAATATTTGCTGGCTTTTCACTAAAATCTGTTTCATTGGAAGCTCCTCACCCAAAGCAAATGTCTACAGATTAGTCACTGGGTCGGATGATCCATAAATTAGATATTTAGAGTAATAAACATTATAATTATTGTGAATGTATGTCGATGATAAAGGATTACTCGAACGAGGACTTGATCCAATGAGTGGTAACAACCAACTCTCAAGAATTGGTATATTTAAAATGTTGTTGCTTTGCACAATCCTCGATAAAGAACGGTGTAATTTTCTGTCGAAATATGGACTATGATGGATTTCCAAATGGAGAGTAATAAATAATCAGCAGATAACGACTATTGACCGTAAAACTAAAAAATATAATGACATTTCGATAACATACGACTGATACATCAACAGGAGATCCTAGAAAACCTGAAATAGTTACATTCTTTGTAACGTGTTAGTAAAGGAGGGGTTGACACTGTTGATTCATTTTCATGCACACACGATGTTTAACAGTCTTCTATGGTTTGTCAAACGTAGTACTCCTTTTATCGAACCAAATCTAAGGTATGGCAAAGAAAATTTCTGGCATCGTGGGAACTTTTTTATCAGCGGCATCCTTTAGTCTGGGGAATCGTCTGACTAAGTTCTGGTGGCAGACTTATATACATTGGACAAATATTTTCGCAAGTGGCGACTTCACTAGACAGAACGCTATCATTTAAAAAGCATTTAACAAAAACTGCCCAAAAGTTGAGTACAAGAAATAACATTATACAGAAGCCCTGCGGTACTACCTGGGGAGCATCGGCTTCCACTCTCCGCACGCACTTACACATAAAGAAGTTGAATACAAAAATATCATGAACAATATAAACCTGCCGATTCACCAAGATACCGAGGATGCACGAAATACCCGTAACATTCTAGAAAACCACCAATAAAAACGGCAAGAATGATACATAGTCCCAAGAATGGAACGCATGGCAAAATAACATGCCCTGCAGTACCCACAAGCCACCAGGTTTTAATCTTCCACACAAAACATGGTCCATTCTAAATAGGATCCGAACCAGACATGGCAGATGTGCATACATGCTACATAAATGGGAAAAGGACCCGTCTCCTCGATGTGACTGTGGGGAGAACCAAACCATCGACCACATTATTGAAGAGTGTCCTTCAAGATCCTACAATGGTAGCCCTGAAGACTTCCTATTTGCAACTTCAGAGTCAATTGATTATATGAATACACTTGATGTTTGTGTGTAACTATTTAAAGTTTGTCATATACCTATATTACGAGTGTTTGTAATTTTTTTCTAAATGTCTTGTAATTGCCTTACGATAAATAAATAAATATACAGGGAATGGGATAGTGAATATGTTGAGACAGAAAAAAAACAAACATGGCAGCATTGCCAAAAGGTCATTACATGATATCTCTGTTGTTATTGCTCCAAATGGAGCATGTAATGCGTTAAATGAAAGGGGAGGGGATAAGGATTATATTAAGAGAAGAAAAACAACGCAACTACCAAAAAGCACCTTATATTCGTTATTAATGAAAGTATAGTGACATACGAAAGATCATAGAGCACTATGAATAAAAATAGATTTATTGTAGGACAAATTTTGATTTATTGACTTAAAGAAGGCCTCTGACTGAATACAAAATATACAACTAATCATGTCCTGCGACATAGCAAATGAAAGGGGAGAATATTATGATTACATTAAGATAGAAAAATCAAATAAGGCAACAACTTAAAGAGAGTAGAAAAAAAGCTTTTTTCTACTCTCTTACTAGTAAATTGTATATTACCTACTATTTGGATGCTAAGTAAATGCATCATAATAGATACTGACACGTATTGACTAGCACGTAATAAAAAAATTTACGCTTCAGTTTTATAAAAATGTGTAATATCACATAAGCCTCGTAAGTCAGTTGGTCGAGTTACCATGGAAACGAATTAACAGACGTTATTTTGACAGATCAAAAATTATTAATCTGCCAGTGTAAATATAGTGGTAATTTAATTTTTATTTTTATAAACGAAAATAATCGTAGAAAAAGTATAGTACACAACTTGAGTTGTAAGCTTATTACATGCTTGTAAAATTACTGCGCTCGCCGCTACGCGGTTCGCGCGCAACTTTTTTACTCGCATGTAATAAGCTTCTTACAACTCGCGTTGTGTAATATACTATTATAGGTTAATACTTTCATTACAGTTATAAAATAAATTAACTTGAAATTTTGCATTTTTATTCAAGGTTTACTTCTGGCAGGTGTTCATAAAGGTGTCGGAAAATCTCTGCAGGAACTTTGAAGCATGGTTTTTAGAGCTACCATGTCTCATAAACGATTTTGTAATATCAGCGCTTTTTGCGATATGATAATAAAGGGGATAGACCTATTGGACGAAGGCAAGGCAAGTTAGCCCCAATTAAAAGTTTTTCTATTTATTTGTAGCACAACTTCCCAAAATGTTTGTTCCATATAAAAGCCTCACTGTCGACGACCAACTTGTACCAATTAGAAGTAAGTGTTCGTTCAGGCAGTATATTCCAACAAAATCACGTGGGAAATATGGAATTAAATTATGGCTTTTATCTGATCTCAAAACTGCGCATGTGTATTGTGCAGAAGTGTACACAGGAAAAGCAGAAAATCAGCCCCGTGACGTTCATCAGGGCAGAAATGTGGTTTTACGACTTATCAAAGATATTCAGAATTCTGGGCGAAACATAACCACAAATATTTTTTTTACTGACTACCATTTAGCGACTGAATTATAAAATGCAAACTAACACTAATTGGAATATTACGAAGGAACAAAGCTTTTATTCCAGTTGAATTTCTACCAAATAAAAGTAAAGAAGCCGTATCATCAATTTTTTTCATATAGTCCTAAAAAGGGTAAATATGTTATTCTTTTGTTCTCAATGCATTTAGGTGACCAGATGTCATTGCAAGAGCATAAGAAACCAGACATTATTTTAGAATACAATAGAACCAAAGGAGGTGTGGATACAACAGATAAATTATCGTCAGCTTATACCTGCAAAATGGTTATAGAAGCTTATTTTATAATAATTTACATTTGGCGATAATTAACGCATATGTGTTATATATGCATGTAAATCCTCAATATAATAGGAACAAACTACATAAAAGAAGGCTTTTTATAAAAGAATTGGCATATAATTAACACAAAAATGCCGAACTACTCAAATCACTACAAACGTTGCACAAAAAATCCAAATAAATTTACATGTAGTAGCTGGAACAAGTGGAAATGCAAACGAAAGTCCAAAACGTGGAAGGTGTAAAGACTGCGGATGGGAAAAAGACAGAAAATCTTGTACAAGATGTCAAGCATGTAAGAGATTTATTTGTCCTAATCATTCAAATATCTGTTGTAAAAGTTGCATATAAATTTAGTTGAATATAAATGTGTGTGCTGTTGGTTTCTTTTGACTGTGGACTTAATCCATTAGCCGAACTAAAATTAGTCTTAAATATTATATTTCTTATACCCATTATATTTAATATAAAGTTTTATTATATTTTTTATTACAAAAATGATGTTTTTAGTTTTAATACATCGATAACATGAAACTATAAAAGTTTCTACGAATTAATAAAAAAAAATTTGGAAATTAATTCACAACAGGTATGAGTTTTATCCACTGGGTCCACCCTTACCCATATACAAAGAATGTAACATTTACTTAAGACACTTTTAGGCAAATAAAGACAAATAATTTGATCACATTGTAAAATACTTTACAAGACTAAAGAATAGGAGATTTGCTAAAATTTTGGAAATAATACTTTTTTATTTTACGAAATAAAGAAATAACGAAATTAAAAAAAAATGTAAAACCTACATTTATGGTAGAGAAACCTTAGACAACATAAATATGTTACTGAATTGATTAACCCTTCAGTATATTGAATATTGTTTATAAAATGAAGTTTACTTTGGACCTTTTTACCATTTTCTATTAACTCACTTGGTAATTACACGTTTCTAAACTTGTCACTATGTCACTAACAACAGTTTTATCGAAAAACAGCAAATTTCTCGTGCCAGTAATGTGTTGTGGAGAAACTTTTGAATATTAATTTTTTCTTGATACTAATTAAAAGTGTTCGCGGTAAGTGATGTCAGAAAAGTAAAGCCGTCAGCGCCTGGACGCTGATGTTTGTTCTATGTAGGTGCGTGAGGACAACGCCTAGTTTATTATTCATCTCATTTCCCTTAAGAATTTACGTAAACCATTTAGCTAATTTATCGAAATGTTAATTAATATATTACTGAATATTAATTTTAAGCAGACGAGTGTTCTCTTTTTATTTTAAGGGGA